GCAAGCATTTATTAAGAGCTTACTGTGTCTCAGGCACTGTGCTAAATGCTGGAGATACAAAGGAAAACAACTATGTACAACCTCCATATGGGTGTTACTAATATGTAATAAATTGGAGGTAGTCTCCAATGGAAGGCACTAGTATTAAGAGGGATCAGGAAAGGCTTCTTGTAGAGTATTGGATTTTAGCTAAGATTTTGAAGTCAGCCAGGAGGCAGAGATGAGGAAAGAAAGCATTCCAGGCATGAAAATGTATGGAGTCAGGAGATAAAAGTGTCTTGGGCAAGGAAGGTGGTGGAAGGGAAGGGAATAATCATTTATATAGCATTTACTATGTGTCAGGCAATGTGCTAAATGACTTTTACAAATATTAACACATTTGATCTTCACAATAATAGGTGCTATTATTATCCCAATTTTTACAGTTGAGGAAACTCAGGCAAACAAAGGCAAAGTGATTTGCACGGGATCACACATATAGTAAGTGCCTGAGGCCGGATTTGAACTCAAGTCTTCCTGACTGCAGGCCAGTGTCATTGGATCAAAGAGCATGTGAAAGGAAATAAGTCATAAGAAGACTGAAAAAGGTAGAAAACAGTCAGGTCATTAAGGGTTTAAAAGCCAGTCAAAAGATGCTATTGCATTAGTTCAGCTGTGCAGCAAGGAGGGCCTGCACCAGAGTGGTGGCAACATCAGAGGTGAGAAGAGGGTGCACGTGGGAGATGATATGAAGGAAAAATCAACAGGATTTGAAAACAGAGAGAGTAAGGAGTCAAGAATAATACTGAGATTGAAGGCCTGGGTGACGGAGGATTGTGATTTACTCAACAGTAGTAGGAAACTTAGGAAAAGGGGGGCATTTGGGAGGAAAGAAAATCAGTTTTGGACATGTTGAGTTTAAGATGTTTAATAGGCACTTGGAGATGTGAGACTGTAGGTCAGGAAAGAGTTAAGGGCTAGACATATAGATCTGAGAATCATATGTATAGAGATGATAGTTGAATCCATGGGAGCCAATGAAATCAACAAGAGAAATAGTATAGAGAGAGAAGAGAAAAGGGTCCAGGATAGAGCCTTGGGGGACCCCAACTATTAGCGGGTATGACGTGGATAAAGAGACAGAAGAAATTGTCAGATAGGTAGGATGAGAACCAGGAGAGAACAGTGTCAAAAAACCATAAAGAAGAGAGAATCCAGGAATAGAGTGTGATCACTGGTGTCAGAGACCACAAAGAGGTCAAGATGGATGAGGCTTGAGAAAGGCCATTAGATTTGGCAATTAAGAGATCATTACTAACTTGAATATGGTTTTGGTTGAATAATGAGTTTGGTAGCCAGATTTCAGAGAGTTAAAAAAGAGAGTAGAAGGAGTAGAGGTGAAGATATCTATAGATAGCCTTTTCAAGGACTTTAGCCTCAAAAGGGAGGAGAGAGATAGAATGATAGCTAACGGACTGTCAAATGATATAATGGTTTTTTGAGAATGAGGTATTAGTAAGGATATGTTTGTAAACAGTATACAAACACCCAGTAGTGAAAGAGAGATAGAAAATTAGAAATTAGGAATGATAAAGGTGGGGGGTGTAAGAGAGAGTGAACAGTCAAGGCACAGGGGTGGGGAACCTGCAGCCTCGAGGTCCTGAAGTGTGGCCCTTTGACTGAGTCCAAGTTTTACAGAACAAATCCTTTTAACCCCTGGTCCAGGGTAGCCCTGTGATTATAAATCTAGGAAACAGGAAGAATGGGGGTGACTTTGACAGAACTATGGAAGTTTAGAACAGGTGATTGAGTTGGGGTAAAGGTAATAGGTTCAGATTTGGAAATACTGAGTTTCAGTTGTCTCTGGATTATTTAGTTTGAAAAGTCCAATAGATAGCTGGCCAAGAGAGCAGATTAGATATATAGATCTGGGAGTCCTCTGTATAGAGATAATCATTAAACCCATGGAAGCTGATTATCATCAAGAGAGAGGAGAGCCCAGGACAGAACCATGGGAAGCTTACAGTTAGGGAGCATGTGATGATCCAAAGCAAAACCAAACTGAAGTAAGAGAAACTTGAGAAGGAGTAGTTAGAGACAGGAGGAGATAGAGGAGAGATCAGTGTCATAAAAATTCAAAGAGGAAAAAGTATCCTGGAGGAAAGGAGAGGGTGGTCAACAGTGTCACATGCAGCAGATAGGTTGAGAAGGATGAGAAAAGACCACCAGATTTGGCAATTAATAGATCACTGGAAGAAAAGAAGCTTTGGAATAGAATCTATGGGGACTGAGATAGGGGATCAATTAGCACAGAATAAAAGGACTTCTTTGCTGAAGCGAGTGCGTAGTTGAAACTGATTAACATGCCATACCACTCAAACTACCAAAAAATTGTTTTATGGAGCTAGAAAAAACAATAACAAAATCTGAAAGAACAAAATGTCCAGAATATCAAGGGAACTAACAAAAAGAAATGCAAGGGAAAGTGGCCTAGCTGTACCAGATCTTAAATTGTATTATGAAGCAGCAGTCATCAAAACTACTTGGTACTGGCTAAGAAATAGAGTGTTGGATCAGTGGAATAGGTTAGGTATGCAAGACACAACAGTTAATGACTATAGTAATCTACTATTTAATAAATCCAAAGACTACAGCTTTTGGAATAAAAAATCACTATTTAACAAAAACTGCTGGGAAAACTGGAGAATAGTATGGCAGAAACTGGGCATAGACCAACATCTTACACCCTATACTAAGATAAAGTCAAAGTGGGTACGTGATTTAGATATAAAGACGGATACTTAGGAACACCTAGGTGGCACAGTTGATAAAGCTCTAGCCTTGGAGTCAAGAGGACCTGAGTTCAAATCCAGCCTCAGACACTTGACACTAGCTGTGTGACCCTGGGCAAGTCACTTAACCCCGATTGCCTCACCAAAAAAAAGGGAATAGTTTACTTATCAGATCTGTGGAGAAGGAAAGAATTTATGACCAAACAAGAGATAGAGAACATTGTGAAATGCAAAATGGATGGTTTTGATTACATTAAATTGAAAAGTTTTTGCACAGACAAAGCTAGTGCAACCAAGATTAGGAGGGAAACAGAAAACTGGAAAAGAATTTTTACAACCAATGTCTCTGATAAAGGCCTCATTTCTAAAATATAGAGAGAACTGAGTTAAATTTATAAGAATACAAGTCATTCCCCAATTGAGAAATGGTCAAAGGATATGAACAGGCAATTTTCAGAGGAAGAAATTAAAGCCATCTATAATCATATGAAAAAATGCTCTAAATCACTATTGATTAGAGAAATGCAAATCAAAATTATTCTGAGGTACCACATCACACCTGTCAAATTGGCTAACATGACAAAGCAGGAAAATGATAAACGTTGGAGAAGATGTGGGAAAATTGGAACACTAATGCATTGTTGGTGGAGTTGTGAACTGATCCAACCATTTTGGAGAGCAATTTGGAACTATGCCCAAAGGGCTATAAAATTGTGTGTACCCTTTGACCCAGCAATACCACTTCCAAAGAGATCATAAAATGGGAAAAGGATCCACATGTACAAAAGTATTTATAGCAGCTCTTTTTGTGGTGGCCAAAAATTGGAAATTGAGGGGATGCCCATCAATTGGGGAATGGCTGAACAAGTTGTAGCATATCAATGTAATGGAATACTATTGTTCCGTAAGAAATGATGAACAGGGGGATTTCAGAAAAACCTGGAAAGACTCATATGAACTGATGCTGAGTGAAATGAGCAGAACACAGTAACAGCCACATTGTGCAATGACTTACTTGGATAGACTTGACTTTTCTCAGCAGTGCAAGGATCTAAGACAACTCCAAAAGACTCATGATGGAAAATGCTGTTCTCATCCAGAGAAAGACCTATGGAGTCTGAATGCATATGGAAGCATACTATTTGCTCTCCTTTTCTTTTGTTGTTTTGTTTTATTGCTTCATTCTCGTGGTTCCTCCCATCAGTTCTAAGTCTTCTTTACATCATGACTAGTGGGAAAATATGCTTAATATGAATGTATATGTAGAGCCTATATCAGATTGCACGCCCTCCTTGGGGAGGGAGGAAGACAGGGAAGGGGAGAAAATTTACAACTCAAAATCTTACAGAAATGAATGTGGAACACTTAAAATAAATTCACTATTAGAAGAAGAAAAAAAGAAACTGGTTAACATAACTCTCTTCTTCTATTAATGAAAATTGTAACAAAATTTCTACTATTACTTTCGAAGTCCTGAACTGGGCATTTTTTCTAGGCTCTTCCTAAGGGATAAGAGAGTATTGTTAGTTTCCCAAATGGTGCTGTTTGGGAATTATGTTGTGCTCAAAAGATTTGAATGATTGAAGTCACAAGGAATGGATAGAGAATTCTGGATCTTTTTTCAAATCCCACCTTCTCATCTGAGTGACCTTGGTTGGGTCACTTCCCCTCTTTGGGCCTCAATTTCCTTATCTGTGATTGGATTTGATGATTTTTTTTTTATTTGATGATTTATAAGGTTCTTTCAGGCTATTTTATTTTCTTATATCAGTTTGAGTTTAGTTTGGATGCTATTTTAATGTTTTTATTCTAGTTTGGGAATTTTAGAAAATATCATCTAGGTTTGATCAATTAGAATTTGTTCACTAGAATTTATTTTGGCATATGCCTCAGTCTAAGCTTTTATTTATTCCCTTTTTATTGACCGATTCATATTCTTGCTAGGATAGGACTTTTGATTCGCTTCTGAGAGCTGAGGTCCCAAAGGTTATATTGGGGGAAGCCACAGCAATATGAGGAAAACCTGGGACTAGTTTAGAGATTTGTGCTAAAGGTTTTTTTAGTCTATGTAGCCATTGTAGTACTTGTAACTTCTGTTATATATAAACCTTCTTCAGAGGTTGGAAACTCTGCACTTGCCCCACTACATACTTGTTCTTTTCCTGCTGCTCATTTTTCTGAACTTTTATCAAAAGTTATCAAAAATACTTATTGTCTTTTGTGCTACAGGCTCCCAGAACCCTGGCCGAAGCTCACCTCCCCCAGGGTATGTGCCAGAACGTCAACAACGCATCGCACGACAGGGATCTTATACCAGTATTAACAGTGAAGGGGAATTTATTCCAGAGACCAGTGAACAGTGTGTGAGTATGAAGGTGTAGGAAGCAAATAAGTGGGTAAAAACCTCAGAGGTTGACCCAAGAGTAGAGCCTGAATTAAAACTGGAATGATTCCTGGGGGGATGTCATCTGAAATCAGGGTGGCTGATATAAAACAGAAATGATTTAAGATCTAATAAAGGCAGGTAAGACTTATAGCCTGTTTCAGGTTGTCCTGTTGGGAGTTACTCAATGTTGATAGTATCACCATCATCCGAGGTCTGGTTCTCAACTTTTCAGGTTCAGAATCTTGATTTTATCACCTTACTAAGCAATAATAAGGCTTCAGGGGACTGAGTCACAAATTCACAATATACTGATTTGTAAATCATAAATTCAACTTCTTAATTTATAGAATGATGTGCCCTTCCAGTAAAGGTTTTCCAAGATACTATCTTCTTGGTTTCTAGCTATAAATAAAAAAACAAATTAATAGTCATAAGGTTGCTTATTGAATGTAGAATCAGGAGGAGGGAATTTTAATCAAGCATTTAAGGGCCTACTGTGTGCCAGGTACTGTGCACTCTAGGTTACAAAGACAAAAATGAAAGTTTCTGTTTTTAAGGAGTTTACATTCTATCAGAAGAGACTTACAGTCTAGCAGGGGAAATAAAAGGACACATAAATACATATAGAAGATATACAAAAGAAATACAAGATAAATTTTTAAAGTGAGGCCCAAACAACTAGGGACTTCATTTAGGTGTCCCTTAAACAGAGTTTTGAGGAAAACAAATGATTCTAAAAGGTAGTCACAAAGTAGAATTGTTCCAGGCGTGGGGATGACCAGTGCAAAGGTATAGAGATGAAAGATGGAGTGTCATGTGTGAGGAAAAACAAAAAGGCTAGTTTGGCTGAACCTGTGTGGGAAGGAGGATAATGAGTTTGGGGCTAGATTGTACAGGGCTTTAAAAGATAAAGAAAGGAGCTTATATTTGATCTTAGAGACAATAGGGAGCCACTAAAATTTGCTAAGGAAGGGAGTGACATGGTCAGATTTGCACTTTAGGTAAATCACTTTGACAACTCTGTGGAGGATAGATTGGAGTAAGTTGGACAATCAATTAAGAAACTGCTGTAGCAAATCTAGGCAAGAGGTGGTGAGGCTCTGAACAGGGATAGTAGCTTTGAGTAGAGCAAAAGGGACATATGTGAGAAAAGTTACTGAGAATGTCAAGATTTATCAGCTGATTAGATGTGTGAGATGAGTAGGAGTGAGGGTTTGGAGAATAACAATGAGGTTGTGCATCTAGGTGACTAGAAGGATGGTGGGACCGTTGTCAAAAAAAGAAGTTTGGAAGTGAAGTGGGTTTTGGGAGAGAGATAATGAGTTCAGTTTTGGACTTGTTAAGTTTGAGATGCTTACTGAATATCCAGTTTAAAATGTCCAGGCTATCAGTGGAACTGAAGAGAGAACCTCAGGCTAGATATATTGATCCAAGAATTATATGCATAGGGATAATAAATGAACAAATAGAAGCTGATTAAATCACCAAGTGAGAAAGTGATGAGTAAAAAGTATTCAGCGAAGATATAGCATTGATACAGTTTGACACAGTTTCTCTTCATTTACCATGGAGATGTGCTGATGTCAAGAGAGGATGTCTTGACTACTCACGTGTTGGCTTTTGTACTTAGGCTACTAGGAATCTCTTTCAGTGGTACAAGCAAGTCTCTAGGATGATTTCAATAGCTTTTAAGGAAAAACTAGTCAAGCATTTATAGGGTAGGGACTTAGGAAAGGAAGCTGTGAAGTGGGAGCAAATCGCCTCAGTTACAGATAACTAGCATTGATCATATTCCTTCTCTTTCTCCATCCTTCTTCTTGGTAAAGAAAAGTTTGGGTGAGGGGAAAAGAGAGGAAAAATGTAAGAGAATATGATGGAGAGAAAGACACAGTTAACAATCATAACAGTGAACTTAGGAACTAAGGAATGAACTTAGAAAAAAACAGAAGAGGGTAGTAGAATGGATTAGGAAGCAGAATTAAACAATCTCAGACACTTCAAACAAAAAGATTCACACAATTAAAATGAGGGGCTGGAGCAGAATATTATCTTTTAGATGTCATACAAAGCAAAACTAAAAACACATAATTAAAAGAGCGGACAAATTACACTGTGTTTAAAGGCATGATAAATAACAAAATGCTATCAGTATTTAATATATATTCATAACATCTGAGTACAATTTATCAAACTATAAGAAGATATAGATAATAAAATTATAGTAGTGGGAGACTTCTAAATCTAGCTAGATCTAACAAAAAGATAAGTAAGAAAAAATGTAAGGACCTGAATAGAATTCCAGAAAACTTGAATATGGTGGATCTCTCTGGTGATTATTAAATGGAAATAGGAAGGAACATCCATATCTTTCAGCTGTGTGTGGCACCTTTACAAAAATTGACTGTTTCTTAACACAAAAAAAAATCTCATAAATACAGAAAAGCACAAATATTAAACACATCCTTTGTTGACCAAAACACAACAAAAACTATAAGCAATAAAGGAAATTTGAAGAAAAGATTCAAATGTTATTTTACATAAAATAATTTCATTCTTTAGAATCGGTGGATAAAAGGAAAAAATCATAGAAATGATACATGATTTCATCAAAGAAAATGAAAACAAAATGACATTAAATCTTAGGGTGCAGCCAAAGAAATCCTTAGGAAAAAAGTTAATTTTTAGACACTTTCATCAATAAAAGAAAAAGAACCCATCATTGAATTGATCTATAAAATAAAATACTAGAAAAGCAACAAATAAAAAACCCATCCAAACAAAAAGTAGAAATTCAGAAGATCAAAGAAAGGATGAATAAAATTGAAAACAACAGAACTATTGAATTGACAAAACTAAGAGCTGCTTTTTGGGGAGGGGGACTAATTAAATAAACTGTTCACAAATCTGTTTTTTTTTTTTAAAAAAGGAAATTAAAATTATCAATATAAATAATTAAAAAGAATTCATAAAAAATGAAGAGGAAGTAAAGGAAATTTTTAGAAACCATTTTGTCCAGTTATATACCCCTAAAAATCTGTTGACTTGAATGAATGTGAATATTTACAAAAACATAAAATTCCCAGGTTAACTGAACAAGAAATAGAGAATCCAAGTAACCCAGTCTCAGAAAAAACAAATAGAATAGGCCATAACAGAAATTCCAAAGGGGAAAAAAACCTAGGACTAGATAGATTTACAGGCTCCTTAAAGGCAGGGGCAATTTTTTGTCTTTCTTTATATCTCTCCCTAGCTCTTAGCATAGTTCCTGACACATAGTAATGGCTTAATAAATGCTTATTGACTATCATTCTGTCTCTGTCTCTCCATTTCTTTCCCAATTACAATTTACTCTGAAAGCCAAATACCCAGTCCTGCTCTGCTGTATGAGGTTTGCATTACATTGACCCTGCCTTCAGCATCTGTCCCACAACTGTTTCCAGTTTCTAACTGCATTAAATCTAAACTTCTCTTCCTGATTTAAGGCCCTTTTTGATACAGGTCCATAATAACTATCCAGCCATACTTCATACTCCCTCATAATGTGCAGCTTTCATTCTAAAGAGTTTTGCTTTCTCTCAATTCCACAAACATATTATGTTGACTGTTTGCAAAAAGTTGAAGAGAAGGCATCCTAATAAATTCCATCTATGATACAAATGTGATCTTGATACCCAAATCAGGGAAAGCCAAAGCAGATTTGGGGAAACTATAGACTAGTATCCCTAATGAATAGTGAAAGAAAAATATTTAATAAAATATTAACAAAAGGGCATGGTATCTGTTAAGAAATCATACATTGTGACCAGGTTGGAATTATTTCAGAAATGCAGGGTTGTTTCAATATTAGAAAAACTATAAACAGTAATCTATAAACTATAATCAAATAAAAATCATGATTATGTCAATAGATGCCCCAAAAAGGCTTTTTACAAAACAAAATGCATTTCTATTAAAACATTTTAAATTACAAGAATAATAGCTAGCATGCATACAGTGCTATAAAGTTTGCAAAGCACTTTACATGTTATCCCATTTGAAATTTTCTATCTATGATAAGGAGTATCTATCTGAATTCAAGAGCCAGCATCATATGTAATTAACAAACACTAGAGGACTTTTCCAGTAAGAATAGGATTAAAGCAAGGCTATCCATTATTACCACCACTGTTATTTGATATAGTTCTAGAAATGCTAGCTATAGTAATAAGACAAGAAAAAGAAATTGTGGGAATAAGCATAAATAAAAAGGAAATAAAATTATCACTTTTTGTGGAAGCTCTTGGGAGTCCATTTACCAAGACACACACACACACAGACACAGAGGAATTATATGAATAAAACTACAAAACACTCTTTACCTAAAGAAAGCCTTAAATGATTAGAGAAGAATTCATTCCTCATGATTGAGCTGTCCTAAAATAATAAAAATTATAATCATTCTTAAATTACTTTATTCAACGCTGTATTAGTTAAAGTACTAAAAGGTTAAGTTTTAGAGCTAGAAAAAAATAATTAAATTCTCCTTGAATAAAACACAAAGAATTTTGAGGGAAATAATGAAAAAACTGATAAAGATGGTACATAGCAATAATGGCTCTTAATATTTACTGCTTGTTAAATAATAATTAAATAGTTAACTAGTTAAAAAATAGAGAAGTTGAAAAGTAAGATAGATTAAGAACACCAGATTCAGAGGCAAACAAACATTGCAGCATAGTGTTCAGTGAACCCAAAGTGAATTCCAACAACTAGGATAAGGACTCAGTATTTGACAAAAATTTCTGGGAAAACCAGACAACAGTATGGCAGAAACTAGGGTTAGTCCATCATCTCTCATCATATAAGGCACAATAAGATCCAAAGGGATATAAAGGTTGTATGAGCAACTTAAGAGGAGCAGGAAAAGAGATTCCTTTTACAACTATTAATAGCAGAAGACTTCTTAATGAAATAAGGGATAACAGGCAATCATAGGAG